AATTATAAGTTAACAAACAAGCAATCTAAAGATTCTTTGATTACAAATGTAAAACATTTTAAAGGGAATTGAGTGTGCTACGAGATTTAGAATGAAAACGTGTTATTGGAAGATGAAGTTCAAATAACTTGCATGGGATAACTTCGTAAATCGTTGGATGCAATTTTGATAATGAAGATAATAGGCATGAAAATTAATTATTATGCAAGTAGAGCAATAATCGTCAATGTGTACTGCAGGTAAAAATTTTAAAAGAAGCACAGAAATAAATGAAGCAATCACTGAGTTTTCGCGATAAACATGGATAAGAATGAAATCCATCTTTATGTTTATCCTGAAAGGCTTTTCATGGTATAGTCCATATTGATGTCAAGAACTTACTTATAACTGTTTAACAATATTTCAAGTAGTCTTATTCTAGTATGTTGATTTTTGAAAGAAAGCAAAAGGATAGCTCAATTATTTGATTACGTTTTGCTTTAAGACAAAGTTTATATTTCTAAGAATGAAAATGCAAGTCGCAGTATAAATAATTATTATTGCTTCTGCCAACTCGAGAATCTTCATTTATTCCAACATACCATTCAGAATGAGCTATTTACTGACGTATTTTATTTCAAATAAGAGAGGAAAGAGGAAGAATATTGAAAGAAAATCTCTGGATAGTGTAGCCTGGTCAATTTTGCACTCACAATATGCTATCCCCGTGTTTTTTTTAAAGTAATTTTAAAAGTAACAACTGTTTTGTGACTGGCAGTATGAATGAATGATGGAAGTTCTAGCACCACTTCCTCTATTAATTTAGCTGTTCATTTGAATCCATACATCGATTTCACTGTATATAGAATAAATAAATCGTGATACAATTTTAATTTTTTGACAGTAATGAACAAGTGAAGGAACATAATGTGTAAGTAGCACGATTAAACAATTTTCATTAGGTCCATGTAAAAGTAAATTGAAAGTAATTCTAGTTTACAGTTATTTCGTCGTCATAAAGAAAACTATACTAATGATTAGAAAATTTCCAAAAATTTCAACGTCATGACAATTAGAACAACACAAACATTATCGAAGTTCACACCATTTCATGGGCAAAATAAACAGAAAAACTTTTCTTTATGAGCAAGAAATAACAATGAATAGTTAGTATTTATCACATCGTATGGACGAAAACATGCGCATCGACACTTAAAAAAAGGTACCACTCTAGCGTAAGGATTTTGCAGATCTTTGCCTTCATTGAATTTTTGACTGCCTTGGAACTAAGCTAGTGCCAACAGCTGTGCTAGTAACTTGCATAGATAATGCGAGTTCGTTATGTTAACCGTGAAGTAGCCCTCGCCTATTACTTGGGATTCACATTGGTAGTAAATATGCTGCTGTCATACACATAAAGCTCAATTCCCTGGGATAATACACCTGACTAGACTACTTCTACCTTTGATGCTTTTACTGGTTTAAAAAGTAGTCTCTACCAGTTTTAAATTGATCTGCCTAACCCTGTGCCAGATAATTAATTTATGATGACAAAATAAAAGAGTGGAAAAGTTTATCAATAGAACTTGAAAAATTAGTGATGCAGGCACAAGTGCCAGAAATGTTGCTCCTACTGCTCTGTGGGTCAACATTCGAGAAGTCTTCAAATCCAGTTATAAAAAAATAAGAATAGCACAAGACACCTGAAATCACTGCAAGTGATTTTTTTCACACAAATAAAACGTGAAATAAAAAAACTACAAATAATAGGCGAATCCTATCAGTTCGCCCCAAAAATATCCAAATTCAATTTATATTCTAACTTGTAGAGCTTGAAACCTTGAAACTTCTCATCTAAAATACAAGCTTGACGAAAAAAAAACTCATCGAATCAGAAAAACTAATAAATAATAAATAATAAGCCATTCTTAAAAACATATCAAAAAATCATGACTTCACAATAAATCGTCAACGTAGTATATTTTAAAATAGCTAATATATTTTTTTTGTAAAAGTAGCAAAAAACGTAAAATGAATTAAGAGCAGAAAATATGTTTCTCCATTACAATTAAAGTAATACAATTATAAACTTCAGAATCAAATATGATAGAAAAATAAGAAAATAAAAAAGTGGTTTACAAATTCAGAACATAGCAAAATGTGATGCAGATGATGATACGTAGTTTCCATTACCATTTATTCTTTTTTTGGGGACGATCTCTTGCTCCTGGCTTAACATAATTTCTAGCCAATCGCTCTTCTGTTATTCTCTCATCATCACTATCGTCGGTTTCCTCTTCTTCTTCATCTTCATCTTCATCAGAATCAGATCCAATTGATGGAAGGTCCTCATTACCAGAACCTTCCTTGTCTTCATCGGACAGCGCGCCCGTATCAGCTGAAATGATAAACAATAGTGATAAGAGATTGTTGAACAACTTACCAGCGAAGGAAAGAAACGTACCGAATTCAACTCCACCCTCATCGAGATCATCACCGCCTTCGTTCAGCTTCGCATTTTCGGGTAACTGACCACACGCTTTTAAATTCCTGGCTTCATCAGGATTGTATTTTAAAATAACATCAGCCTACAACATTTTATAAATAAATAAATATATATATATATTATTTATTTACTGAAAATGCAGGTGTTTCAAACAGAACTAATGTAAAAATCTAGGACCGAAGTGAAGAATATATAAGATGTGCTCGTTTTCCAGTTTTATTCCAAAACAGTATTGAAAAGCAAGAATACTAACTGAAAAGTCTGCAAGTGAAAAAAAAACCTTATCGTCCTGATAATCTCTGAGACCAATTAATATAATATCACCAGTGTTAATCCATACTTTTTTACGTAATTTCCCTCGAATATGACATAAGCGCGGTTTACCATCGAAGCAATTTGCATTTAGCCGACCGTTACCCAGCATTTTAATTACTTGTGCGTATTCTACAAAATACATCAGTATCTAAGACTAGACTAAAATAAATAGATTTCAATGATTTTAAATGTTGTTGTTTCACAATGACTGTTCTTATATCAATGATTCCAATTAGCTGGTTAAAGCTGACTTACAAATTAATTAGAAAATCAATTTTTCATACTGAGAAAGAAATTCTGATAATTTGCTATACGGCTATCTGGGAAAGAAACAGTTTTCGAATGAATTACATGACGTGTGAACTATAATCATACAGAAGCAAAAACTTTCATACCACTATCAAAAGCTCTATAATAAGTAAACAAACCTTGTCCAGGCTCTTTATATATTAATTCCCTTTTCATTATATCATTTTCGTTCTTACCCCTCCTACGATTTTTGCCACCTTTTCCTTTATTTTTCGGCATTCTGCAGACTATTCTGGAATCTGCTGTTTGTGAATCAGTAATTTAGACCTCTGAAAATTGTTTAAATGTCTTAATACAAAATACTCCAAAGGAAATAAAATTTTTTCCTTTGGAATATAATTTTTACGATACATCGTTAAAAACAAAAATGACTGTTAATTCGTGAAATTCATAATTATTCAGTTATTTACAAAAAAAAAAAATCTGATTTCATGGACGGGGTGAAATTACTAAGCAACATTATTCAAGTTCTGCCAAAACAGAGTGTAATATCTGGTTTAGGTGGTTTAGGTGGTTTAGGTCAACTAAGCTCAGATCAATAGAGGGCTGACTTGTAGATGAACTAAAACGAATAGTTTGGTATTAATACATGAGTTATTAGGAAAGCAGATGCTTTCGAACTGCTTCCAAAATGGAAAGAGGATAAGATACCAAAGAAAAAAACGGCTTTCCTTCATTTTCAGCCACTGTTTAAAACATAGGGTCTACATTTTAAAACATAGAACAAAAATATTTCAATATGCTTAATATCAATTATTTACAGCATTATGCTCCTATCCACTTACATAAGCACCATATAAAAAAAGTGCAGACCTGAAATTAAACTTGTTAGCTATGGAAGATAGAGAACAACCGACCTACCACTAGAACAAACGGCCGCATTGAAACTTGAATTCATCACCCGCAAAACACCAACCGGTCTACTACAAACCAAATTTTATCGAGAGATCTGTCCAGATCATCAACCCACTTCACTGATAAATTGAGACGAATGTCTAAAATTGAAAATTGGAGTGAATATCCTCAATTCCATCACAATAGCGAGGGAATCGAAAAAGTTTACAGTTACTCTGACATTATCTTCCTGGAAATGAGTAATTCAAATGAGAGCAATGAGATAAAACGAATATAATTAATCAGCCTCTTTTTTCCACACCATGAAATTCTTCAAAGAAGCACATCCCAGCCGATAACGTCACATTCAAGCCTATGATGTGATGTTGGGCCGATTCTCATTCGGCAGTTGTTGGTTTTTTTTCTGGCTATTTCGCTAGGTTAAAGGATTATAGAGTAAAGGAATATTTATTAATACTTCTCTCTTCCAATAAAGCATGTAAAATATCGAAAACGATCAAATTTAGCCAATCTTCATTTTGCAAGCATATTTGCTATTGCAAATAGACATTTGTCACAGTATTTCAGCGTTATGATGGTAGCGCAGCGAATCGGTTTGTCTGATGGATTAGCGTACGGGTTTATTTTTATTGGGTTTTATGGGTTGGATAGAAAGGGACGGACAGTTTGAGATATCTCGAGAGTGGGAGTAAACTTTTCTATAGTTTTAATTTTGAGGAGATCAGATCATGGACGTTTGTACGTTTTTTGAGATTTCAACTCGATTTTTCACTGCCGTCTATTCTTCAATAATAATCCATAGAAAAAGAACATATTCTTGATCAATTTGTCCATGATCGGAGTACTCGTTAGTTACATTCAGGGTGATTTAGAAATTTATGTATGTACTTTACTTAGCGGTGTGCCTTCACATTTTTGAAACTGTTTCACAAATAGTTTTACATGCGTTATCTTTTTCTCCTCTTACTTTCATTTTGTTTGATCTCAAACTTGTCATTTCTTATTCAGTGGTAATTGTTTAGTGTTCAGTGCATAAATGGCATTTGCACATGAACAGTCCTGCACATCAGACATGTCAGACATTTCCAAATATTTGTCATGTCAAAAATCGTCTGATGTCAAATTCACGATATCCAGTCTGAAGAGGAATGTGACATCGGTGTCGAACAGTAATGTACTGCGAACTGAAAATGATGGAAGTGACGATGATACGGAGAATACTGTAGATGAAAGTAAACGTCAACGGCTTACACTTATAAAAAACGGACAAATAGTTGAGTATGTTCATTATCGTTTCAGTAATTTTTGACATCAGTCTATTTTATTGTTCTAATCTGATTCGTATACTGGTATATTTTACGAACTGCAGATGAATACTCTTCTCCTACTTAGCTTCATCTTTCAAAGTTGCGTAAAGATTATATTCAAGTCGGTAGAGGAATAAGTCGAGAAATGTTAGCATACTATCATTTATTCCTGGAATTTCTGGGGTTGAAATAATAGCAGTTTATTGTGATCATTTATTTTTCCTTACAAAGCCTTTGTTTTTCTTTTCATTTTCAGACCAGAAGAGATAGAAAAGTCGAAGAGCAGCTTAGTTATACCAATGGTAATGCAGAAAGATTGGAGGATTGAGCATCTGCTGCGGATGAAAAACGAGGGTAAATTAAATGAGGAAGAGCTAGCGAAACTAGACCTACTTACGGAGGCTACTTCGTCATCAACTCAGGAGGCAATCTGCTTTTCGCTTATTCATGTCTTTACATCGTTTTAAATTCTATGGTTTGAATTACGCCATATGCAATTCTTCTTTCTTAAATAATGCTAATGTTTTCTCTGTGTTTGTTTTTTCAGAACACAAATCAAGTTGATGGTAAAATCAATGAACCGGTTAGCAGTGTGGATGCTGATTATGATTCAGTACCAATAGAAATGTTTGGTCTTGCAGTGCTGCGAGGCTGTGGTTGGCAAGAAGGTGAAGGAATTGGTAAAACAAACAAAAAGTATGTTTAAATCATGTACTAGAATGTGGACTGTACTTAGTTTTATGTAACTTTGTCTTGAGAAAGCATGTTCTCCATATTTCGAGAGTTCATTTTATTAAATCTGTGGTTTTCAAAGATAGTAACCTCAATGATCGTTTCAAATATTGGTACGATGATTTCAGAGAGTTAAACTGTGTCGGAGTGTTACTTAATGTTTTGATTTTCAGGGTAGTGCCTCTGCGAATCTCATCGAGAAGGCCGAAAGGACTTGGATTGGGTGCTGCTACTATGTCAAAATCAACCATTAAAAGCTTGGATTCAGATGCAGAAAAATTGAATAGCTTAAAGAAAGCCTCTCCCGTGAAAATTACAGGAGGAATATACAGGTAATGATAGCACATTAGAAAAGGAAAGCTAGCTAGATGTATTCCCTAGGGAGAGATGCAATATTTGTATCAGATTTGTAAAACAACGTGATTACCTTAAATTTGACGCTGCTAATATTCCTTACTTCTTTTTCTGTAGTGTTCGAGAAATGAGAATTACGAAAGATTAGCTTACACTATAAGTTTAATAGTGCAATTTTGAAAGGTTTTGCAGGAGGGACTGAATAATTAGTGCGTTTGGTAGTTTGTATTGTCATCGATTTGCCTTTATTGTGTTGCAGTGAAAATCTGGTTTGTTTTGTAATATTTTCATTTTGCTTTTGTTTTTTTCTTTTTTTGAATAATTTATGAAAATTGTTTTAGAAATTTGTACGGAAGAATAGAGAGCTTGGATGAAGATAATGCAAGTGTTATTATTCGACTGGCCGTAGGTGGCAAAAACGTTCGTGTTAATCACTATGCTGTGATTTTGGTCACTGATGAGGAATATGAACGAAAAGGTAAGGATATAGATGTTTAGATTTTTGTGTAGTCTAAATTGACAGTTATTCGAAAGGTTTTGCTTAACTTTTAATCTTATATCTATATCTTTTCATGAACCTAATGAATAGAACTAACACTTTATTTACTGCGCATAGTGATATATCTCTCCGTTAAGTTATTCATTATATGCCAGAATTAAGCCGGAAATAGTGCCACTTAATGGATATATTTATTCCGTCCTCTTTTATTTTCGAAATTTGCAAAACAATCATATGATATACTTTAAAGCAGAACATTCTTATGGCGGCAAACATTCAAATGATAAAATCGAACCGAAGGATAATGACATGAGAACATCGCAGGAAAGAAATTGTAAGAGGCAGGAATCAGAAATTGCTGTTAAACCAAATTGGAAAGATATGTGGGCACGGCCAGAACTGAAAGTGCGATTTGTTGATAAGAGATTCAAGGTTATTATGTTTTTTATATTGAAATTTTTTAAGATATTTCTGAAACTGTTTCTTCCAACTTTATTCTGATAGTATTTTTATAAAGATATTAAGAATTAAAAGATTCTTATACTTTCAGGATGGAAGGCTTTATAATGAGAAGGTTCGTATTCTAGATGCAGCCAATCGTAAAAATTGCACTGTGGAAGACTCTTCTGGAAATAAATATTTCGGTAAGTCATTCTTTTATGGTGCTTTTAAGACCTTTAGATTTCGTTTTGCATTTTTTTCATTTTCGGCAAATTTTAGTGGTAGTATATTTTCAGAAATCAGTGAACATTGGTTGGAAACAGTCATACCAAAAGAGAGGGGCGCTAAGTTGATGATTGTGAATGGTCCACTTCGTGGAAATATTGCGGTGCTGGAAGCAAGGGATAAGAAAAAACATATGGTTTTCGCTAGATTGCTAACTACTGATGAAATTGTTTCTATGCGTTTTGATGATGTCTGTGAATATTTTGGTTCTTTTGATGAGTTTTAAAATTATATGATTTTCTATCATAATATAAATTCTCGTTTCATTAGCTGATGTTTTTAGCATTTAAATACTAAAAACTTATACAAACCGTTCTATGAGCTTTCTGACAATTTTTGTAAAAATGGTAAAATTCAGGAGAACATTTCGATATGATATAAAACAGAATATTTTTCAATAATTATCGGCTTCGGATTGAAACGGGATTGTAAGTGGTCGATTTATAAGTTACTGTTTTTTTAACTATTCAGGAATACCTCCGACTTTTGTTTCAAGTGTAATTAGTATTGTGCATTTCAAGTAAATTGGAATTTTTTGTTGTTTGCACAAATATTATGCAAGAACACTAGTGTCCAAAAAGTGATAGTTGAAAATCGAGATCAATATTGAACCGGAAAAGTACATGATATGATGTTTAAAAGACTGGGAGTACGATAAAATACGTATTATGGCGATATTGTTATAAACGTTGGCTTAGATGAAAAAAATTAAGATAGTTAAAGAAAAATTAGCTGTAGATAACAACAAAATTTATGATATGATAGATGCAAGCGACATATCGAACGACCGGAACACAAAAATTCTTCTTAGTTTGCAGTAGCGTTATGCAGTATTTGGGAAATAGTGGGGTAGTATTTGTAAATTCTTGCATAAACTTTGACACTGCCGTAGTTTTATTGCTGCTAGCTGTTAATGATCAATGATATTAACTATTGTTGTTAGAACGTCTTAAACAGCTTTCGGCTGGATCTGTAATTTTACGAAGTGTGTTATTACATGTTAATTTCATTCTAAATTTTACGAAGTGAGTTATGAATGATAATTCATTCTAAACCTTCATTTCTAAAGATGATTCAGAACTACGGATGCGTAAAAAAGAAATGTTATGATAGTAAATATTTCGCTTCCAAGAAATATTAAACCTGATAGCTTGTAATCTGCTGCGGAATTTGTTTCCAATTTACTTTTAATTCAGATTTTACACTCAACAAATTAATCTTGTATAACATGCAGATTTGTTTTAAGTGATTTCAATATTCTTCCAATTTTTTATTATACTGAGGTTTTTTTTTTCCTCATAATCGTGCATTTGTGTTATGCTTAACGATGCAGTTAGTGCCACCAAAATTATATAGCTAATTTTCTGCAGAAAAGATGACATGTAAAATGACCGTAAGAATAAAGATTTTATAAAGCGATGTAGAAGTACACTGAATATAACTTTCCATATTTCTCTCAACTAATTTCAACCGTTGGCATAAATTACAAAATCTGCTACAAATAGGATGCTACGAAAATATACCTGGATTATTATAAATTGGTTTAAATTTGAAATTTAGAATTTAAATGAATAACATACAATCTAAATGTGAACATGATACCATGTGCTTTTCCCATTAAGCATTGATTTCAACTTTTGATTATCACTTTTTGAATAACAATCTTCTTGTGCAATATTCATGCAAATGTATTTAACATTACTGGTAACTGTATCCTCCATCTTGCACAGTATATTTGCTCTAAGCTACATGGAAGATTCAGTATATGAATTGTTAATTAGTTTCTTTAGTTGAAAATTTAATTGCGCATAAAAGCATCTGCAAATTTTCAAAAATAATTTGCATATCCTTGAGCTATGAGCTATTCCAACAAATACAGAATGCAATCATAGTGAAAAATATACCCCGAAAACATAATCGTTTCTGTGTTTTCATTTTGTCCTGTAATTAAGAACTGGTCAATATTAACTCAAACTGTACATTTACCGTTTTCCAAAGTGCTGTGGAAAGAAATTATCATCTATTTTAGGCATCTCTCGATGGTAATGCATTGTTCTATTTTCAGCATTGTTATATCAGCTTTTATTGGTAAACCTGTCGCCAGCTATTGTCAAACGATTCCGTTTAATTCATTTCATTTTTTATAATAATAAATTTCAAAGACTCTGAGAAGACTGTATATAATATTGAAACGTTCGTTTCTAAATGAATGAATGATAGAGAAGAGTTATTAACAGTACTGAAGATTTTTCAATTATGTTAATGATAACGTTGCAAGAATTTAGTTGGCTTGATAATATCAAAGGTGTTTTAAAAAGTTAACTTACGACCGAGATAAGCTTAAATTACGTTATCACGTATAATAGTATGAATTTGTCGTGCTGCAGTCATTATATAAATGACGGACGAGAAAGAGAAACAACAAATTAGGATGATTTCCTGACGATAAACAATAAAAGCATTGCGAAAATCGTAAAATCTGTTGATGCAACATTTGATACATCAAGAAATTGCAGTTAAAGATGAAAAGTATCACTGAATAACGATGGCCGATCAAATCTCCTCTTCTATTCGTTGTATATCCGGTTCTTCATTTTTCGAATTCGTCGTAATTAAGAACGTAAACATAACGCTTCCACTTATCAAAAAAAAAGAAATGAAATTATGTACAAGTTTTTGATTTGTGAACAAAATATAACATTGATTATTTCATTGTATAAATTTTTGTCAGATGTATAAATTCAGTTTTGGCAAATTTTTCGATATGAATCACACTTCTTAGATAACTCAAATCTAAACACAATTGTAAGAAAGATTTGCATTATAAGAGAGTATGATAACTATGCTATTGATCGAATACAAAGTTGTCGAGGTAACTTCGATCAATAGTTGCTGTTTGGTGTCAACAGGTAATGGGAAAATTTTTTAAATATAAAATGAAAACAAATATAACATTATGTTATGTTTAAATTATAATTTAATTTTCATTAAACTTCGTTTCTATTCGAATAACATTTCTTCCGAAACTCCTTCAATAGAAGGATAAATATCGTCGCGAAATTAATAAGATTTTTGAAAATATCATTTTCGGAAAAATAGTCAGCATATGGAAATTGAAGTTAGCGAAAATCATGAATCAAAGGAAAAAAATTGTCCAAAAATGCGAAAGTATTTTCGCTCAATTTTTTTTTTTAATTCAATGAAAATTTTACATCAATTAAGAAGTTAACACGATGCATACTATAACACTGCATTTTAAAACGAATGATTAAATTGTTGTTTTTGTAGGTGATAAGATAGTTCATTTGATCATTTCAATTACCATATGTAACAGGTAAAGATAAAATTATCTTTTCATTTTTTCAATCTCGACACAGTCTTCGTATGCACCACACCAAACCAGACCAAAGCATTTTCAGTAGTATCAATATTAATACAATGCTGAAAATGAATGTTTTGTACAGTAGGAAAGGGATTGTTACAGTTCAGAAATGGAAAAAATCGTTAAATTTTCAGGTACTCATATTCCAGAAATCGAAATGCTTACGTGAGCCAATATCGAATATGCCAACAACATTCTTTAGGAGCATTTTCACAACACTGATAAAATACGAAAATATTGTTGTTTGGACATCTATAAATTTAGCAAATCTTAAAGAGTAATCTAATAGATAAATTAGTTTGGAATCAAAATTTTCAAAATTTTTATCAATTATAATTATTCGTATTGTTCACTTAATTTAGTTATCCAGTTAAATAAAGTTAATTTTCTTCTTATAATCTTTTAATCGAAACAAATACGTCTATGATCCTTAAGAAGTAAATACTTCTCATCTTCCTAGCTTTGAGTAGCAGGCATCAGTTATTTAAGAAACAATATCAACATTAAAATCTTAATTAGGAATTTAACAACTGTAGTCACTTTTTAAATATCTTAAATTTAAATTTAAAAAAAAAACCAGATAAAGTAGGGAAAGAGAAATGAACAAACTTTTTGCCGTTACATTCCAAGACAGATTGTTGAGATTTCATCACTTCACCGATGTCAACGACAGTTTGCTTGGCTTTCTCCGCAATCTTATCGGTAAGTCGTCTGTTGGATACCTCTTTATACCCATCGCTATTTTCGCATTGCGTTATTAGAATTGGACACACAAACATCGTTACACAAATCGCATGTCGTTGGAGTAGCAATTGCATCTTTTCTGTTAGAAATAAAAAGCTTTTAAAATTTCACCAAATCTTTTTGCAAGAAATTCACGCTGATATTGTTTCAAAAAGCATTTAAAAAATTTTTTAAATTCAATAAATGCTAAAAGCTGAGTTAATTTGTTAGAAGTTTGTTCTAATAAATGTTTCGCATCTTTTGTTGATAAAATTAAAACAAAAATTGCTTCCAATTTACATGGAAATATTTCATTGACGATTTTATTAAAACTATCGCTCGTTTGTTTATTTCATTTAGCAGATGTATCATAAATAACAGAGACGTAAAAATGTCGTGGTGAAAAGATTTCTGGTAACAATCATTTCAATTTAAATTAGTTAATCACCCTGCTGTTAGTAACAGCTACTATCCAACTTTATTACTAAATAGGTAGCAGTATATTTGCAAAATAATATTAAGGTTCATTTTTAATGATGGTCAAATTATATTTGCTTGACTAAACAACTTTTTCACATTTTTGATTTCATCAACCTCATCCATAATTAATTTTTTACTAATTAATTTAAATTTAAATCTTATCAATATAACTAGCAAGCAAAAAGTTTCTCACCATTTAACTAAAATTTCATTACTAGTTCAATTTTTAAAGTCTTATATAATTCATAAGGAAACAAAAGCAAAAAGTGGTACTATTGCTTAGGTTGTTGAGGAACAAAAAGGAAAATGAATATTATGCAGGAAGAAGGAGAGAGAGAGAGAGAGAGAGAGAGAGAGAGAGAGAGAGAGAGAGAGAGAGAGAGAGAGAGAAGGTTGATTCATCTTTCTATTATACTATGTTGTTGAATGTAAGCTTCAATTAGCTTAAATGATTGCGAGAAGATGGTGATTGTTTGAAGAAAATAAAAGGTAAAGATGGAGGTAAAGTAAGAGAGATTAGTGGAATAATTTGGAAAAGGACAGTTCTTGTACAAAAATGAAATTTTCTGTTGATATAAAAAAAAATATACAAGTTATATTATATTCGATGTACTTTTTCCTTCACTTTCTATTAAATAACATAAATCAGTACTCTTTACACGATCGACCAGTTCAATCGATTTTTGATTTGTTTAAACTTTTCCTTTTTTTTGGAGGAAATGAAAACAAAATTATATATTTAGAGTATTTGACATTATTAATTTGGAAACAAAACAATTAATATTATATCTTAAATCAAAAAAAAAAAAAACTGTATGATTTTATACAAAGAAAATATTAGATCTATAGTTGCTATTTAGACGCCTAGCATATATGAATAGCATAGACACGTTGCCGATATCAATACCAATACCATTACCACCACCGCTACCATCAACAACAACAATTTAAACAGCAAGAAATTTTGTTCGTCTGTCCTCAAATTGTCCCAACTCTTTCTAACAATTCTGGCAGACAACATTCGCCACGCTTCCTCTTCGTTTCCTTCATTTCTTTATTGATGATGAAACTTCAGGTTTTGATCGGATCAATGTATGTAACTAGCGGTTCACACCGTTAACAACAACAACAACAACAACAACAACACATTCCACATAATTGATTTCTACCTTTTTCTTCACTTTTTAAAAAAATTTCAAAATTTCCATGATTCATAAATACAAATGATTTGTTGTAAACGAAACAAAAAAAGACAGGTGTGTAACAACGGAAAGGTAGAATATGTGTAGATGATAAATTTGGAAACTATGAATAAATGTTACGAATTGTATTGTTTAAAGTAATATTGATGTTAGATATCAGCTGTCATTAATCAACGGATGTCCTGTAAATATTACTTTAGTATTGTTTGTTTTCTTTTCGAAATATAATTACCTGGTAGAGATAAAGTAACGATTATGATCTTCTGTGAGGGTGGTGTCATATTGAATTATTGATGTTATGTAATGCTGAGTGTTATGTCCGTATTTTTTAAGGTAACCTGAGTACTAAAGATAGGAACTAAGGATTTCTGGGATGCTTTCTAATAGTTGGGATATCCCGACTATCGGGACGCTCAGATTACTGAATATTTAAGGGGTCAAGTGGTTTTTTGAGCTAAAACATTCCGGAGGATTTGTGACAACAGAATGAGGAACGGGAAAAAAGGCCATCGCGTATGATAGTTTTTTTATTTTTGTGAATTATTTGAAATGTACTGCAAAGGTGTGGAAAAAAATCCACGGTTTTCGATGTTGTAGGAAACAGAGACGGATTTTTCTCCGACTTTTGTTAAGTGAACTGAGTATAGCCGTATTTTTGTATTTAATAATAATAAAGATTAGTGACGACAGTGTGAGCCTTTGTGAATCTTAAAAACAAAATTTCGGTTTTTGTTTTTTATTAGATGTGCTGTGGAGATAGGACGATCTTCTTGGTGATGGAAGAAGCACTGCGATGGCCTTTCAATTTTTTAAAGAATTATTTTAATTTTGAATTTGTTTATTGCTGCTGAATTCTGATAGAGAATGATATAATTTGTGTTCCATTTCACACCTTATCACATTACCGTGTACGGTTCGGCCACAGAATTGTTCTTCCTTTCATGATAAATTAAGCATTCAGCGGAAAAGCTTACAACAAAATGA